GGGAGACTACTTCCCAGTAAAAGTAGGTCTTAGACAGGAATGTGTAATGTCACCATGGTTGTTTAATACAGTGGACCCCCGGTTAACGATATTTTTTGACTCCAGAAGTATGTTCAGGTGCCAGTACTGAAGGAATTTGTTCCCATAAGGAATATTGTGAAGTAGATTAGTCCATTTCAGACCCCCAAACATACACGTACAAATGCACTTACATAAATACACTTACATAATTGGTCGCATTCGGAGGTGATCGTTATGCGGGGGTCCACTGTATATTTATAGATGGGGTTGTAAAAGAACTAAATGCTAGGGTGTTCGGGAGAGGGGTAGGATTAAATTATGGGGAATCAAATACAAAATGGGAATTGACACAGTTGCTTTTTGCTGATGATACTGTGCTTATGGGAGATTCTAAGGAAAAATTGCAAAGGTTAGTGGATGAGTTTCGGAGTGTGTGTAAAGACAAAGTTGAAAGTGAACGTAGAAAAGAGTAAGGTGATGAGGGTATCAAATGATTCAGATAAAGATAAATTTGACATCAAATTGGGGAGGAGTATGGAAGAAGTGAATGTTTTCAGATACCTGGGAGTTGACGTGTCGGTGGATGGATTTATGAAGGATGAGGTTAATCATAGAATTGATGAGGGAAAAAAGGTGAGTGGTGTGTTGAGGTATATGTGGAGACAAAAAACGTTGTCTATGGAGGCAAAGAAGGGAATGTATGAAAATATAGTAGTACCAACACTCTTATATGGGTGTGAAGCTTGGGCTGTGAATGCAGCAGCGAGGAGGCGGTTGGAGGCAGTGGAGATGTCCTGTCTAAGGGCAATGTGTGGTGTAAATTTTATGCAGAAAATTTGGAGTGTGGAAATTAGGAGAAGGTGTGGAGTTAATAAAAATATTAGTCAGAGGGCTGAAGAGGGGTTGTTGAGGTGGTTTGGTGATTTAGAGTGAATGGATCAGAGTACAATGACATGGAGAGTGTATAAATCTGTACGGGAAGGAAGGCGGAGTAGGGGTCGTCCTCGAAAAGGTTGGAGGGAGGGGGGTAAAGGAGGTTTTGTGGGCGAGGGGCTTGGACTTCCAGCAAGCATGCATGTGTTAGATAGGAGTGAATGGAGACGAATGGCATTTGGAACCTTATGATCTGTTGGAGTGTGAGCAGGGTAATATTTAGTGAAGGGATTCAGGGAAACCGGTTATTTTTATATAGCCGGACTTGAGTCCTGGAAATGGGAAGTACAATGCCTGCACTTTAAAGGAGGGGTTCGGGATATTAGCAGTTTGGAGGGATATGTTGTGTATCTTTATATGTATATGCTTCTTAGCTGTTGTGTTCTGAGCACCTCTGCGAAAACAGTGATTATGTGTGAGTGAGGCAAAAGTGCTATTTTCTTTTTGGGGATTTTCTTTCTTTTTTGGGTCACCCTGCCTCGGTGGGAGACGGCCGACTTGTTAAAAAAAAAAAAACTTACCTCATGGACCCATTCACTCTTTGAAATGATAATGAATCTGTTCCCGATGGTAATGACACCAAAAGTATGAAATCTGATGGAAAACTTACAGAATTACACCCTCGTGTATTGGTCTCCGTGATATATACACATTGGCGATTTCACTCACTTTGAGCCCTATTTTCAGCCAATTCCATTGTTCCAGCCGACCAAACTCATAGCTATTTTGCTAGAACTCCATTGTTCTATCGACTGAGTACAAGAAACTACCCATTTACTGATTTCAACTACCCAATAAGTGGCCAGAAATTGGCAATTTGGCTAATTTCACACAAATTTCAAAAGATGCCAATTTCAAAATAGGGTCCAAAATAAACAATGAAGACATTCCTGGCACTAAAATAACATTTTCTCTGTTCATTAACCATGTCTCCAGGCCCTTCTTATACAGTGGACCCTCGCATAACGTTGGCATCATATAACGTTAAATCCGCATACCGATACATTTTATCGCTAAAATTGTCTCGCATAGCGCTAAAAAACTCGCTTAACGCTATTCGTCCGAGACGCGTCTATGTGCGGCCTGAGCCAGCCTCACATGTTCCGCCAGTGGCATTGTTTACAAGCCAGCCTCCGCAGTAACATCCAAGCATACAATTGGAACATTTCGTATTATTACAGCATTTTTGGTGATTTCATCTGCAAAGTAAGTGACCATGAGCCCCGAGAAAGCTTCTAGTGCCAACCCTACAGGAATAAGGGTGAGAATTACTATGGAGATGAAGAAAGAGATCATTGCTAAGTATGAATGTGGAGTACGTGTCTCCGAGCTGGCCAGGTTGTATAGTAAACCCCAATCAACCATCGCTACTATTGTGTCCAAGAAAACGGCAGTCAAGGAAGCTGTTCTTGCCAAAGGTGCAACTGTGTTTTCGAAACAGAGATCGCAAGTGATAGACGATGTTGAGAGACTCTTATTGGTGTGGATAAACGAAAAACAGATAGCAGGAGATAGCATCTCTCAAGCGATCATAAGTGAAAAGGCTAGGAAGTTGCATCAGGATTTAATTAGAAAAATGCCTGCAACTAGTGATGATGTGAGTGAATTTAAGGACAGCAAAGGTTGGTTTGAGAGATGTAAGAAGCGTAGTGGCATACATAGTGTGACAAGGCATGGCGAGGCTGCCAGTTCAAACCACAAAGCAGCTGAAAAATATGTGCAGGAATTCAAGGAGTACATAGACAGTGAAGGACTGAAACCTGAACAAGTGTTTAATTGTGACGAAACAGGTCTGTTTTGGAAGAAAATGCCAAGCAGGACCTACAGTACTCAGGAGGAAAAGGCACTCCCAGAACATAAGCCTATGAAAGACAGGCTTACTCTGTTAATGTGTGCCAATGCTAGTGGTGATTGCAAAGTGAAGCCTTTATTGGTGTATCACTCTGAAACTCCCAGAGCGTTCAGGCAAAAGAATATCCTCAAGGCTAATTTGTGTGTGCTGTGGAGGGCAAACATTAAGGCATGGGTCACAGGGACTTTTTCTATGATTGGTTACACCAAGCATTTGCCCCCACTGTGAAAAATTACCTAATTGAAAATAAATTAGACCTTAAGTGCCTCCTTGTGTTAGACAATGCCCTTGGTCATCCTACAGACTTGGCAGAGCGACTTTGTGGGGACATGAGCTTCATTAAGGTCAAGTTTTTGCCTCCTAATACCACTCCTCTCCTGCAGCCCATGGACCAGCAGGTCATTGCAAACTTCAAAAAACTGTACACGAAAGCTCTGTTTGAAAGGCGCTTTGTAGTGACCTCAGAAACTCAATTGACTCTAAGAAAGTTTTGGAGAGATCACTTTAATATCCTCAATTGTGTAAACCTTATAGGTAAGGCTTGGGAGGGAGTGACTAAGAGGACCTTGAACTCTGCTTGGAAGAAACTGTGGCCAGTATGTGTAGACCAAAGGGATTTTGAAGGATTTGAGGCTAACCCTGAGAGGCGTATGCCAGTTGAGGAATCAATTGTGGCATTGGGCAAGTCCTTGGGGTTGGAGGTTAGTGGGGAGGATGTGGAAGAGTTAGTGGAGGAGGACAATGAAGAACTAACCACTGATGAGCTGCTAGATGAACTTCAACAGCAAGAGGCCAGACCTGAGGAAACTGCTTCGGAGGAGGGGAGAGAGAAATTGAAGAAGTTGCCTACTTCAAAAATTAAGGAAATGTGTGCAAAGTGGCTTGAAGTGCGAACCTTTATGGATGAAAATCACTCTCGGATAGCTGTTGCAAGCCGTGTTGGCAACCTGTACACTGACAGTGTTGTGAACCACTTTAGGAAAGTCATAAAAGAACGAGAGGTACAGACCTCTATGGACAAATATATTGTGCGACAGAAGTCCGGTGACTCTGAAGCTGGTCCTAGTGGCATTAAAAGAAGAAGGGAAGTAAACCCGGAAAAGGACTTGACACCTCAAGTCCTAGTGGAAGGGGATTCCCCTTCTAAACACTAAGACCATCAACACTCTCCCCTCCTCCCATCCCATCAATCATCACCAGATCTTCAATAAAGGTAAGTGTCATGTAACTGTGCATGTCTTCTTCAGTTTGTGTGTATTAAAATTAATATTTCATGTGGTAAAAATTTTTTTTTGTTCATACTTTGGGGTGTCAGGAACGGATTAATTTGATTTCCATTATTTCTTATGGGGAAAATTCATTCGCCTAACGATAATTTTGCCTAACGTTGAGCTCTCAGGAATGGATTAATAGCATTATGCGAGGGTCCACTGTATTACTCTTGCTTCCATTTTGAATTTTTACTCATGCAAAAAATAGATTTACTGTTATGTAGACTACTGCATTATTGTAATAATTGTATAAATAATGTTAACCCATACATGACTGCATATTAGACTGGCCAGTTAGACACATACTGAAACGTAACATCATTTGCTTACTCTTGAACATCAGCAAAAATTGAATATTTCCATTAGTTTTAGCTCAATTTCAAGGTATTTTTCAGCATGAAATCAAACAAACTCATCTCTATTTCTGTAATATATCTTCCATTCTATCAAATGAGACCAAGGAAAGGAGAATACAACCATAAGTACCATACAAAAATACGCCTCAAAGTCGGCATTTTAAACCAAAAACATGGTCGGAGTTTTTTTTTCTCATTATGCACTGCATGCTGCAGGATTTTTTTTTATACTGCTCACACTGATCATGCAGACCCATTCCCTCACATGTAGGTCTACCAGCTTTCTACCACTGGATCTGAAGCCACTAGAATTTTGGCATAATAATATGGGACCAACACTGGCTTGTAAGCTGTACTAATACAACACCAACAGCGAAAGGGTTAAGGTCCAAATTTAGCACTCACAGCTTATCTGAGTGAGCTGAGCTCATGGAGTATAACTACAGGATTGACCTAGGCTTCAAAACCATAGTAAAATGGGACAGACCCCAAAAGGGTTTAAAGCATATAGAAGTAAAACCAGTGATATTTGGTATTTAAACAGACCCTTAATATTTAGTGGCTCACCTTTTCTTAGAAGACAGGTAGGAGTACAAAGCAATATATGAAACCTTCTCTTCTTCATTTGCTGGTTGAAAACGAACCACAAGGATTTCCTGTAATAAAGACAAATATTAATTCTCTTTTTTAAATACTTGGGCTATTTCCCATCAATGCAGGGTGACCCAAAAAAGCTGAAAGACTTTCATTCTCATTCACTCAATCACTGTCTTTCAGAGGCACTCCTACACTATCGTTAAACTGCAACATATCCCCACCCCTCCTTCAAACCACAGACAATGCACTTCCACCTCCATGACTCGAGTCTAGCTAACAAGTTTCCCTGAATCCCTCCATACATGTTACTTTGCTCACACTTCAGCAGCACATCAGGTCATCAAAAACTATTTGTCTCTACTTGCTCCTATCTAACACGCTTGCACATGCTTGCTAGAAGTTCTAGTGCCTCACACGCAAAACCTCCTTTATTCCCTCCCTCCAACCTTTCCTAGGATGACCCCTACCCCGCCTTCCTTCCACTACAGATTTATAAGCCCTCAAAGCCATTCTGTTTTGTTCCCTCCTCTCTAACAGTGTGAACCACCTCAACAACCCTTCTGCAGTCCTCTGGATAATACTTTTGGTAACCCTACACCTCCTTCTAACCTCCAAGCTATGGATACTCTCCATCATATTCACACTGCCCTTAGACACGACATATCCACTGCCTCCAGCCTTCTTGCTGCACCTTTCACTACCCATGATTTGCACCCACATAAAAGTGTTGGTACCACTATACTCTCACATATTTCCCTCTTTGCTCCCATGGATAATGCTCTTCGTCTCCACAGATTCCTCAGTGCACTACTCACCCTTTTCCCATTCATCAATTAATAAACAATATATGTAATTAGCAAAGAAACATGATATATACTCTAGAATGAATAAAATATGCCATAATATGGTGGCAGAGGCAGTGGCAAAAGCGTCCACCATTTCTGTCCCAATTTGACTATAGTAACTTCCCATGTTCTTACTGTAAGAGAAAACAGAGTATTTTTGAGGCTAACTGCAGCAGATCACTAGGACCCATGGTTAGAAAAAAGAAATTTGGCCATATGACTAAAAAATGCAAACAAGCATGAGAGAACTGCCCCCATAGGGACGTAAACATGTTTACTGCTTACCAGCTGTGCCAACTAGCAGAAGCAATCTGAATTATTATTACGTACGTATTATGCATTATTATTATTATTAATTTAGGGAACTGAAGCTCTATCATTATTATAATAGTTATTATTATTCTTATTATTATTATTAGTAATTTAGGGAACTGAAGCTCTGTTATAATAATAATATATTATTATTATAATAATATTATTACTATTATTATTATTATTATTATATTATTTTTATTATTATTATTATTAATACAGTGGACCCTCAGCTAATGATATTAATCCGTTCCTGAAAGCTCATCGTATGCTGAAATTATCGTTAGCTTAATTAATTTTCCCCATAAGAAATAATGGAAATCAAATTAATCCGTGCAAGACACCACAAAGTATGAAAAAAAAAATTTTTACCACATGAAATATTAATTTTAATACACACAAACTGACACTTACCTTTATTGAAGATCTGGTGATGATTGATGGGATGGGAGGAGGGGAGAGTATGGAAGTTGTTAATGTTCAGAAGGGTAATCCCCTTCCATTAGGACTTTAGGTAGCACGTCCTTTTCCGGGGTTACTTCCCTCCTTCTTTTAATGCGACTAGGACCAGCTGACCGGGGTGCAGCAACAGTTGACTTTAGTGCAGCAGCAGCTGACCGTGGTACAGCAACAGATGATGGTGGTGTAGCAGCAGCAGCTGACTGTGGTGCAGCAGCAGCTCACCGTGGTGCAACAGCAGCTCACTGTGGTTCAGCAACAGCTGACTGGTGCAGCAACAGCTGACCATGGTGCAGCAACAGCTGACAGTGGTGTAGCAGCAGCTGACTGTGGTACAGCAGCAGCTGACTGTGGTGCAGCAGCAGCTGATCATGGTGCAGCAGCAGCTGATCGTGGTGCAGCAGCAGCTGACCGTGGTGCAACAGCAGCTGACCGTGATTCAGCAACAGCTGATGGTGGTGCAGCAGCAGCAGTTGACTGTGGTATGATAGTACATATTTCTCACCCTTTTTACCACAGGGTTGCCACTAGAAGCTTTCTTTGGGCCCATGGTGGCTTATTTAGCAGTTACAAGCACTATAAACAATGGAATAATACAAAATGTATCGAATGTATGCATGCAACAGGCCACCCTGGCTTGTAAACAATGATGGCAAGGCTGGATGGACAGGTTCGGGACGAGTCATGTTGGTCAGAAACAGCTGATGGTGGTGCAGCAGCAGCTGACCATGGTGCAGCAGCAGCTGACCGTGGTGCAGCAGCAGCTCACTGTGGTTCAGCAACAGCTGACTGGTGCAGCAACAGCTGACCGTGGTGCAGCAACAGCTGACAGTGGTGTAGCAACAGCTGACCGTGGTGCAGGAGCAGCTGACCGTGGTACGATACTACGTATTTCCCACCCTTTTTACATATGATCGCTTGAGAGATGGTATCTCCTGCTATCTGTTTTTCATTTATCCACACCAATAACAGTCTCTTAACATCTTCGAGTACTTGCGATCTCTGTTTCGAAAACAAACTTGCACCTTTTGCAAGAGCAGCTTCCTTGATTGCCGTTTTGTTGGCCACAGTAGTAGCGATGGTTGATTGGGGTTTGGTACACAACCTGGCCAGCTCCAAGACACTCACTCCACTTTTGTACTTAGCAATTATCTCTTTCTTTATTTCCATAGTAATTTTCACCTTTTTTACCACACGGTTGGCACTAGAAGCTTTCTTGGGGCCCACATGGGGTTTGGGGCTAACCCTGAGACACCTATGCCAGTTGTGGAATCCATTGTGCCTACTTCAAAGATTGAGGAAATGTGTGCAAAGTGGGTTGAACTGCAAACCTTAATGGATGAAAATCACCCTAACACAGCCATTGCAAGCCATGCTGGTGACTATTACAATGACAATGTTGTGGCCCATTTTAGGCAAATCTTAAAGGAAGAGGAGGTACAGACCTCTATAGACAGATTTGTTGTGCGACAGAGGTCCAGTGACTCTCAAGCTGGTCCTAGTGGCATTAACCCTTTGAGGGTCGACAGGCCCTCTCAGAAACTCGTTCTCAGGGTCGGCCAAATTTAAACAAAAAAAATTATTTTTTCTTATGAAAAGATAGAGAATCTTTTCCCGATCATAATGACACCAAAATTATGTGATTTGATGGAAAACTTACGGAATTATGCTCTCGCGAAGTTAGAGGTCACTGCGATGTTTACGCATCGGCGATTTTGCCCAATTTGAGCCCCATTTTCGGCCAATTCCTCTGTACTAGTCGACAAAAAACATGAATATTTCGCTAGAACTACGTTTTTTCTATTGAATGAGTGCAAGAAACCACCCATTTACCATTTTCAACTATCCAATACAGTGGTCAGAATTTAGCAATTTTGCCAATTTCACACAAATTTCAAAAAATGCCAATTTCCGAATAGGGTCCAGAACAAACAAGAAAAACATTCCTGGCACTAAAATGACATTTCTTCTGTTCATTAGTCACGTCTCAAGGCCCCTCTTACATTCTTTTGCTTTCCACTTTGAATTTTTATTCTCATGAAAAATAGAAGATTTACTGTTATGCAGACTACTGCATTAGTGTAAAAAATGATATAAATCATATTGGCGCACTTGCAAAAGAATGTTAGACTCACCAGTTGACGTGTATTGGACGCTTGGCATGATTTGTTTACTTTTGAACTTTGGTAAAAATCGAACATTTCTCCTTCTTTGAGCTCAATTTCAAGGTACTTTTCTTTGTAAAACCAGTGAAAATCATCTCAATTTCTGTGATATGCATTCCATTCTATAAAATGAGACCAAGAAAACTAGAATACAACAATAAATACCATACGAAAATACAGAGCAAAGTCGCTGTTTTATGCCAAAAAAACGGTGAAAGTTTTTTTTTCTCATTATGCACTGTATGCTGCAGGATTTTTTTTATACTGTGCACACTGACCACATAGACCCATACTTTCATATGGAGGCCTGCCAGCCTTTTCCCGCGAGATTTGACAGCGCTAGAATTTATGCGTACTAGTACGTCAAAAACCCCTGCGCGTAAGACGTACTAGTATGTCCGAAACCCTCAAAGGGTTAAAAGAAGAAGCGAAGTAACCCCGGAAAAGGACTTGATACCTCAGGTCCTAATGGACGGGGATTCCCCTTCTAAACATTAACAACTCCCACTTCATGTGGTAAATTTTTTTTTTTATACTTTGGGGTGTCTTGCACGGATTAATTTGATTTCCATTATTTCTTATGGGGAAAATTAATTCAGCTAACGATGAGCTTTCAGGAACAGATTAATATCGTCAGCAGAGGGTCCATTGTATTATACAGTGGACCCCCGCATAACGATTACCTCCGAATGCGACCAATTATGTAAGTGTATTTATGTAAGAGCGTTTGTACGTGTATGTTTGGGGGTCTGAAATGGACTAATCTACTTCACAATATTCCTTATGGGAACAAATTCGGTCAGTACTGGCACCTGAACATACTTCTGGAGTGAAAAAATATCGTTAACCGGGGGTCCACTGTATTATTATTATTGCTGAGAAGAAAAGAGAATGATTTCCATGGAATTAAAGCATGAAATCATAGATAAACAAGTGAGGTGTCCAGGTTTTGGGTTGAGGGGGAAGACGGAGGGGGGAGCTGGCTCGTAACTCAGAGCAAAAAATCGACCCAGGGATGGCTCGTACAGTGGTTCCTCAATATTCGTCTGGCCTGAAAGTTGTCCATTTTGGAAATAGTCCTGTTTTTTTGTCTAAACACTGGCTCGCAAATGGTCCGTTAACTCGCTAATCGTCCTTCGTCCGGGATGCATACTCACGCTCTCAGCCGCCTGGGCCTGCCTTCCCAGCCAGTGTGCCATTGTTTACCAGTGAGCGACGGTCCCCTCACTTGCTCCTACAAAATATTTCATAACATTCCATTGATTTTAGTGCTTACAA